TAGAACTCATCGAGTGTTATACACTTGTAAAAATTACGTTGATCAGATATTGATAGATATTCTATCGGATCAGATTTCTGTCAACCGTTTATTTTTTTACCGTCAAATTTTTTATACAAAAATGATTTAATCATGAAGCTATCGTTATCCGATCAACGTGATTTTTACAGACATATAGTACTCGATAAGTTTTATACATTCAATGGTCAAATTATCGAAACGGGACCTGTGGTAAGCCTCCACAGGCCTAACAATACCCTCAATCCGATCTGAGACTGAAGGAAAGCCAAGTCGATTCACATTAGTCAGAAACAATTGTGGTTTACTTCGGTAATTCTCCTGTTGGAAAGACATTTCCACCATCCAAATCCTATTTTTGACAATAGAAAACGCTATAGATCCAAAATAATTTATTAAATTTCTCATACGGGTGTGGTATTCACACAAATCCATATGTGAGTGAGTCTCACACTCATGTGAGAGGTTTCGTAGAAAATTTAATAGATTATTTAGAATTCATAGCATAACTCTTTGATAATTATGTTAAAAGTAAAAAAGTTAATTTTTATTTTTATTTTTTTGGGTTACATTATTTTTTTTTTAAACGGTTTTTCATAAAAAATTATAAAAAGTTAAAAAGATAGGTTGCGTTTGGTAGAACTTTCTAAATATGATTTGAGAGTAGATGTATTTTGAGTTTGTGAGTTTTAAAATTATGATTTGAGTGTAGAAAATTTGTTTGTTGAAAGAGTTTTGAAAAGAGTTTTGAATTGAGTAAAGAATTTTTGATGTGACATATGATATTTGATACAAAAACTTACAAGTCATAACCAAACATACAACTCAAAATTCTATTAATGCACATAAAAAAGTTTTAAAAATTCAAAAAATATTTTTTTTTGAAAATATAAAAATTAACATACGTCAATTGCAAAACAAAAAAAAAAAAGAAAAGAAATTGCACTGTTCCGATCAATCGACCGGATGATCGATGGGACGATCGGTTAGGCCAAATTTTTTTAAAAAAAAAAATTAAAAATCGCGCCTCACACAGAGTTTTCTATAAATGTTGTGGAAATATAGTTTGAACATCCTATCCAAACATCATATTAGAATGTGTAAGTAGAATTATAGTTTGGAAATCGTTCCATACACAGTCTTAGTTTTTAACCTACTTTTCAAAATAGGGCAAAGTACAGAGCAAGGTGAGAAAAATAATAATAATAAAATGATCAAATCGATTGAACTAGACCGAATTAGTTATATTTAAGCTTCGTTTGGCAATAGTTAAATTGACTAAATAAGTACAAAAAGACAAAAGGAAAATGAGTGAGACCCTCTTTTTTGAGGACCCCACAACCCTCAAAGTGATCCACACCACTCATGATGTATGGTGAGGCCCACTCATGTATGTATGGGGCCCACATCATGAGTAGTGTGGATCACTTTGGGGGTTGTGGGAGTCCTTCAAAAACAGAGTCTCTATCATTGTTGAATACAAAATAGACTAAATAAGTTAAAAAAACAAAATGTCATATCCAAACCATAATTATTTCAATTTTTCTATTACAACCATCACATCCAAACTAAAAACAAAAAGTTTTTTTCAAACGAAATTAATTTAGTCAGGCTAAATTAGCCAAAAAATTAAAAAGCCAAGTTAAATTAGCTCTTCCCAAACGAAAGCTTAGTATGTTTTTAACAAGAGTCGGTCTGTGCAGTTTTTTAATTTTTTGATTAGATTCGTTTGATTTGAAATAAATTAAAGATTGAATGACTAAGATTACGTGACTAGAAATAAATTTCCCACTCAAACAACTGTTAACTTTTATTTTATAATCTCACACCGGGAAAAGAAGGAAAAGGTGAGTTGTTTCACTTATATAAAAGTAAACCTTATGCTCCCATTTAAGATTGTAGTGTTGTGCATGCTTCAATTCAAGACAATTTAAATTTTAAAATTAAAATAACATTTAAAAGTTTTAATTGTTTAATTTTTATATAAATTGGTTGGTCTTTTGACCTAGCCGATTAGGCTGAACTATTTTCGGTTTGACTGATTCGTTGATTTAATCGTGATCATAGTGGTTTTATCAAAATATATTGGTTAGATTTGTTTGATTCAGAAGCCCAAACAATTGTTAATTTTTATTTCACATAATTTCACATTAGGAAAAAGAAGGAAAAAGAAAGTTGTTTCACTTATATAAAGTAAATATATGCTCGCATTTAATATTGTAATGTTGTGCATATGTCAATTGAAAACAGTTTAAATTTTAAAATAAAATAAAATAAAATTTAAAAGTTTTAAGTAATTAATTTTTATGTAAGTTGGTTGATCTTTTGACCGATTTTAACAATTTTATCAAAATATAGATATTGTTTTATTTCTATAAAGTATGTTTAGTTTTATGACAAACTTTAACATAGAATAAAATAAAATTAAAAAAATTTATAAAACAGAATTTATTTTTATTTTATCATAAATATAATTTTTTTTAATTTATTCTATTTTTTTCTTCTTTACCAATTAAACTGTGACATTTATTTCTTATTGTGAATTTAGAATATACAATTAATGACAAAACATGCAGCACTCGTGTCCTTTAAAACCTTTTGGGAAGTAAATTTGAATCCTTTATTTTATTTTAGGAATCTTTGGTGTAGTTGTACCTTAGTTTTGGGGGAGTACAAATTGATTTAAACTTGTTGGGATTGCTCATTCACGCTTGTTTACATTGAAAAGTTGTTTGGAAACTTAAAATTTTGTTCTGGGTTGACACCGGTTTTGGAGGTGTCGATACCGTCTTTTGTTGCTGGTCACAAGGGTCAACACCAGTCTGGGAAGTGTCTACCCTTTGTTTCTGAAGTTTGCTTGCTAGAAATTGGGGTAGACACCAGTTTGGGAAGTGTCTACCCTTTGTTTCTGAAGTTTGCTTGCTGGAAATTGGGGTAGACACCAGTCTGGGAAGTGTCTACCCTTTGTTTCTGAAGTTTGCTTGCTGGAAATTGGGGTAGACACCAGTCTGGGAAGTGTCTACCCTTTGTTTTATATCACACAAACACTGCATTCTCTTCATATTTTTTCTCTAATTTCAGTGGCTAATTTCACCATCGAAGCGTCTCCGACCGGTAACCCTGGTTGGGTGGTGCTGACTACGTTCATCTTTGTAGATATATAGGGGCAAAGCTCATCTCTTTGTTGGATCTTTACAATCCATATGAGAGAGTATTTCATGATCTGACACAAAAGGATGAATCTTATCAAATACATGGTACCCTCGTAAAAATCATAAAAAATGGGCTCTTTTGATTAACATATTCATTCTTAGTGATTAAAACAAGGAGAAATATCATATTCATGGAAAGCACAAAAAATAATATCAATTTAGTGATAAAGTATATGAACTTTTCTTTTAATATTGCAAAAAATTTCAGTAATTGGATAACAATTGCAATGTTGGAGCTCAAATGCTCTTTTGAATTGTTTGTTTAAACTATTGTACACTTTGATGGTTGAAATATTTAAAACCATGACTCAAACCCAACAGATTAAATATTTTTAAACGAAAGTCAAAACAAGACGATGTTGAACACTTAGGTGCATCTGTAACGGTTTTTTAAAAGTCCAGGTATACTTGGCTTCTTTATCTAGACTTCTCAACAAGTTGGATTTCATATATATGTGGGTTATATTGTGTTTGAATCTTAAATTTAGATAGAATTTTAAAAGAAAAGAAAAAAAATATGCTAAAAATATAAATAAAATATAAGATTTTTTTTTTTTTTTCATTTCACTTGTCTTTTCTTTTCAAAATCTCTACTTAAAGTCATGATTCAGATACACAGTCTTATATTTCTTCTATTTGTATAGAAATCACTCAAATAATCATACATAATTTTTTCACACTGATGTCCAATCCACAAAAAGTAAGACCCATCTCATATAAAAAAGTTATGTCCTACTCTTAAATAGATCCTACTCTTAAATAGATTTTGTGAATAATACGTCAATATAAAATAAGAATAGCATTATTCTAACCAAAAAATTAGACTCATTTTTTAAACTCAATAGTATGACATTCTATTGGAATATTTAAAACAACTCTCTTCTCTTGTATTTTCTTTAATCATCAGTTAATTATCATTTTTATACATAATTGAGTGTTAAAAATGAATCTAAATATTAAACTTTTATATCATTTTCCATGGTATAATTTGTACATATCTAAACTTTTCAAAGTTTGTTCCCCTATTTGGAGTGATATAATATAGAGCCTAACGTTCTTTTACTTGAATTCGTACATAGCCGTTGAATATGACCACCCCACTCAAACACTTAACATGTATTTCAATTCATATGCGCAACCATGTATAAGTCCTTCTAATTTGTTCATACTATGCCAAACTCGTTTTGAAAATGTTGAACATAAAATCCATTTTATTTCTTAATTTTTTTAAATATTCGTATAGAATACGAATTATAGTAATATGTTTTTCAACTTCTAATAATGAATAAATATAAATAACACACATCGTTTTATATATTTTTTGTATGTATTTGATATACTATCTATCTAATAATTGTAATATTTATGCTTATTTAAAGTTTGACTATACGTGATTAATAAAATTTTGTTTTGATATTTTTTGCATTTAACTTTTTTTATTGATATTTTCATTTGTTTTGTACTCTAATTTTCATCAATAAAATTCTCATATTTAAAAAAAAAAAAATGAATGAATAATAAAGTTTTTTGTTTTTTAATAGTTTAAATTTTTTAATTTAAGAGTGTTAATATTGCCCAACTTGTTTTCATCAATAAATACACTCATTTTCAACCTAATTTTCCATCCAAAGCAATATTTCTTAGCTTGTTCGTTATCGCAAATATCTCTCTCTCTCTCTCTCTCTCTCTCTCTCTCATTTGTTCATACCATACCAAACTCGTTTTCACCTATAAATACCCTCCTTATCAACCCACATTCTCCATCCAAAGCAATCAAACACACCACATTTCTTAGCTTGTTCATTACTCCAAAATCTCTCTCTCTCTCTCTCTCTCTCTCTCTCTCACACACACACACACACTCACACACACACACAACCCACAACATGATGTCCCTAAAGATGTTGTTCATGTTAGCTATACTCATGGCTCTAGCCATGACACTATCACCAACATCAGCTGAAGAAGAATTACCCCTCAATGGCGAAGAAGACATTCAAACATCTGAAACTTACGACATTCCTTCACACCAAAGCCCAGAACCAATTTCGCTTCGTGGGACAAATCGATTTCTTGCCCAAAAACTGGTACGTGTCAACATTACATGCGATAAGTACCCTAGGGTTTGTCGTGCAAAGGGCAGCCCGGGGCGTGACTGCTGCAAGAAGAAGTGTGTAGATGTGAGGACCGATAGGCTCAACTGCGGCATGTGTGGGAAGAAGTGTAAGTACTCGGAGATTTGCTGCAAAGGCGCGTGCGTGAACCCGCGCAATAACAAGAAACACTGTGGAAGTTGCGACAACAAGTGCGACAAAGGAAGCTTATGTGTGTATGGAATGTGTAGCTATGCATAAAAACATATGATAACATAGAACATTTGTGTAGCTAGAATGTACTTTGTAGTACTATTGAAATTGTTTGTGTTTTCAAGGTTTAGGAACTTGTTGCGTGTGTAAGAGTAATAAAAGGCAAGCCATCAATACATGGAGGGCTTTGCCAATGTCTATTTATTCTTTAATATCGTGTGTGTAATTGTAACATTGATTATCATTGATTCAGTAAACGTGAATAGTTGAATTCTTAACCATTCTGTGTTCAAAATCATTCTAGAGCATCTCTCTCAATCTATTTGTCTCTTCATGTGAAGTGGGGCCACACATGAGAAAAGTGTTTGCTTTAGCTTTTGAATGAGTTAGTATTTAACATGCTAATAGAGCAGATAATAAATCATATGTTCAAATCTCACAATCTATTGAATAATTTAAAATTTGCACATGTTTAACGCGTTTATGAATTAGTCTTTTTTTTTATTTTGAACTTGTTTATGAAGTAGAGTCTATTCACACGTGGGGAAACATGTTAAAAATATAAATAATAAAATAATAATTTTTTTTTGTAACAATTGGCGATTTAATGATTTATTGTTCTTTAAAAAAGCAAAAAATCTACTTCTTAAAAATATTCACCTACTTCATCCAAAAAGTTCAATGAGTTGGCAATAGACTATTTTAGTTAAAACAAAAAAGTTAAGAAAAACGATATAGAAACTGGCTTTCTAAATCTATTTTTTAGATCCAATGGTGTGTAATTAATATTATTCGTTGATAATTATAGAAGATATAAGATGGAGTGTTGTCTGAGATATCTTAATTAATTGTCGTATCATTGAGTTTGAAAAATAGTGTTAGGTTTTATTTTTGGCAACTCCGTTTGATAAAACTCCTTTCAGTTGTATTTGTTTTCGCATCTTTTATTTCAGTAAGGGTATGAGTTTATTAGATGCAAATCTAATCCGAATCGTGCCTTTGTCAATTTCTATGGATCAAAATCGAGGTTGTAAGAGGATCAAGTTTTCCAGATTTTTCAACTTTTGTCGTCCCGCTCGAGCGGGAAAAGTGACGCTCGAGCGGGGATTGGAAGCTCACAGCATCTCTGCTTCGCTTGAAAAAGTACTAGATGGTGTGATTCTCCGCTCGAGCGTGGAAGCTTCCGCTCGAGCGTGAAGCCTATATGAATCACACAATTTTGTACCCTCTGCTCGAGCTGGAATTACCACGCTCGAGTGGACCGCGCGAACACAAATTCGTGGATTTCTATAAGGAATTGGTTTTCTTCCAAAAATAGGATTACTTTGAATTTCTATAAGGAATTGGTTTTCTTCCAGAACTAGGATTACTTTAGTTTTCTATAAGTAGTTGGGTTTCTCCCAAAACTTGGAAAAGTCCTCAAGATCTTCTTTTTGGATTCTAAGGTTTATATTTGGGGATATTTTTCTAGTTTTCTTTGATGTTTCATTGAGTATTCAACTCATGATTTAAGAAGCATACATTAAAGGTTTGTTTGTTTATTCTACACAAAAGAGAGAGTTATTCTTTGGTGGATTTTGAAGAATTCAAGCCTGAAGCTTTGGTGGATTCCAAAGTGGCTCATCATCAAGACAATTCCGAGGTAAAGATGGGGTTGGAAGAGGCACATAAAGGTTGGTTCAATTCGGGCATGGATTCACTAGGTAATTGAGAGTATACATGTGTAATTCCTTTATATCTTCTTAGTGGATTGTTTTGTGGCTATTGCCCGTGATTTTTTATCACAATTGGATTTTTCCACGTAAAATCGTTGTGTCAATTTGTCTTGATTGTTTGATTGAGATTGTTTTTTACTGTTTAAAATTGATACATAATCACAAATCAACATCTAGGGAATTTCTAGATTTTTCAATTGGTATCAGAGCGGGTCATTCAATTTTTTTAAAAAATATATCTTTTAGAACGAGTTCTTGTTTGATTTGTGATATTAGATTCAATTCGTGAGAAAAATTCTATGGTTCGACCACCCCTACTTGACGGATCCAATTATTCTTTTTGAAAAATTCTGATGAGATCATTTTTGAAATCTATAGATGAAAAAATTTGACAATCTGTCATGAATGGGTGGACCGAACCAACAATTACCGTTGATGGAGTAACTTTTCCCAAACCAATTGAAAAATGGGACACAATTGATTACCAAAATAGTAGCTGAAATAGCAAAGATATCAATTCTCTCTTTTGTGCTGTCACACCTGAAGAGTTTAGTCGTATTTGTAATTGTGAAGTCGCAAAAGAGGCTTGAGATATCTTACAAACTATTCATGAGGGCACTCATTCTGTTAAACGCACAAAACTTCAAAGGCTCACGTCTAGTTTCGAAAACCTTTAAATGAAAGATAGGGAGACATTTGATGAATTTTATGCGAAGTTGAGTGACATTGTAAATTTCAGCTTCAATTTAGGTGAAAAAATACCAGAATCCAAAGTTGTGGGAAAAAATTTGAGATCCTTGCCCGATCGGTTCCAACCAAAAGTTACGGCTATTGAGAAGGCTCAAGATGTCGACAACCTGAAGCTGGATCAGTTGGTTGGAAATCTCCAAACTTATGAGGCACATAGGAATTTTAAAAAGAAAAAAAAAAGATATTGTTTTTAGTAGTGCTCATAGAGTTAGAGAGGATTCTGATGAGGATTGTGAGATAGATTCCAAGATTACGGCTGCTTTTGTTAAACAATTTAAAAAGTCTTTTTTGAAAAAGAATCATAATCTTTTGGAATCTACTCGTACCCATAAATCTAAAGGCAAAGATAAACTCAAAATTAATTCTATAGCCAAGAAGGAGAAAAGAAAGATACAAGGGAACTCTGAATGAGTCCAATGCTATGAATGCCAAGGATTTGGCCACTTTACTTCAGAATGCCCCACTCGTTTGAAGAAGAAGAAAGCCCTCGCCATCACTTGGGATTGTGAATAAGAATCCGATGAAGATGAAAGTGACAATGAAGATCAAGGCGAAGAGGGACATAAACAATTCCTTACTTTCATGGTGGCTTCTGAAACTAAAGGACGAACAGAGTATCCGAAGAGCCTAATTGAGAATGCCACTGATGATGAATCTTCGGGAAGTGATGATGAAGAGCTTGAGCAAGCTTATGAAAAGTTGTATAAGGAATCTCTTAAGCTATCCAAATTGAATGACAAACTCACTATGAAGCTCACAGCATGTGAAAGTGAGAATGTCAAACTAAAGAAGGAGATTTTCGAGGCTAGGATTGAAGTCATCAAGATTTCTAATGATCGACAAGTTCTTTGTGCAAAACTCTTGACTTATGAAACAGAGAGGAATGAGCTACAACAACTCTATGCAACATATGAAGAAAAAATTGAAACTCTCGAGGTGTCTCATGTTGCTTTGGAAGAACTAATGATCAAGAAAGAGGAAAAACTCAAGTGTGCTATGGCTACCATTGGTCTTTGGAATAGAGGATCAAAGACTTTGGACAATATCATTGGGCTCAACAAATTTGTTCTGACAAGAGTAGCATTGGCTTTGGTGGTAAGAAAGAGCAAAAACAGAGTGCATCTACATCTCATGATATAAGAACTCAAGGAAAGGGAGAACAAAAAATTCAACATAAGGATGGACTTCTCAAACTTCCTAGAGTTGGTAAGGTAAAAGAAAAAAAGGTACACCCTGTTTTTATTTGTCATCATTGTGGTATGCATGGTCATATTCGCCCTTATTGTTATAAGTTGCATGAGAGAGTGTATTTGCCTAGACCTAGGAATAGGAAGTTAGAAACCATGTCGAGACAGGTTCCTATTGTAGGGGAAAGGAACCACAACATCAAGACACCATCCAAGAGCCGCAATTCTCACAATTTTGTTCATGCTAAAGCGGTTTGGGTGAGAAAACTTAATTTGTGCTAATTTGTTTATTCTTTTTAGTTTTTAAGTTTTTGTGTGTTTTTTTTAAGTCATTTAATGTGTACATGTTTGTTTTCTGTTTTGCTTTGGTTCAGAAAAAAAAAAAAATCCCAAATAGATTTTCTTAGTATGGTTTTGCAAGCTTGAAATTTTTGAGTAGTCCTTGGTGCATATTGGAATTGATGAGAATATCCATTACATGTTAATAATGTGTGCTTTCTATGGTCATTACTCGTTTTTGAGTGTGTGTTTTTTGATTAGTATGTCTCATTCTGTACATACTCTTGGATTAGCAAATTTTGGAGTCTTCTGTCTTAGTGATTATTTTTTTTATGGACTTCTGTCCTTGATCTTTTGCTTTTCTAGAGAAATTGACCTATACTAGCATATCATGTGTGATGTTGAGTCTCTTAACCACGTTCCATCTTTTTGCACCTCCACGGCTTTCCCCTCAATTCTTTGCAGTCCAGCCATGAGGAAAAGGCTACCTCAGAGTCACCAACCAGGCCATCCTTATTTTATCCATGCTTCTTTTGTTTGGTTTCCATACTCTTGAGCGTGTCAGCCACCAATGATTGTGCAAAAGAAAAAGAAAAAGAAAAAGAAAAAGAAAAAGAAAAAGAAAGAGAAGAAGAAAAAAATTATGCAAAAGAAAAAAAAAGAAAAAAAAAAGATTCATTGGTTGAGGGGGAGCCTCCGCCTTTACTCACCAAATACCCCTTGATTCCTAGGGGTTTGGCTTTCCTTTGTTGTGCTTAGATTCTCTTGACGGAGGTCCAACTTTCATATCACTACTAAGATTGAATCTAGTGTTTTTCGAACTCCAAGAGTCACGCACACACTTTTCTCATGGGATCTATACTTTTCACATAATGCATCACTTTCTTTCATGAGGAATTTTCTACAGACTGTGCACATTGTGTTTACTAGTAATTGTGTTTCTTAGATAATCTTGTGTGTTTTAAGGTATAAATCTGAAATTCCTTGCTTGCTCCACCATAGTTTTTTTTGTTGTTTTTCTTCTTAGTCACTGTTTTCAGTGTTTGTGGTTGCTTTTAGTGAGGGGGAGTTTGGTTCATCTTGATTTGGGTTGGTAAAGGAGTTTGGTTTATCATTGCAAGAGTTTGTCAGTATGAACACTTTGATATGTTTGGTAAGGGAGATTGGCTATAGTTGTTTTGCATGTTTCTATACACCGTTTGCTAATTATTTCCTTCTTGCATGTTCCCGGTATTTACATCGTCATATCATTGCTTGGGTTGGTTTATGATCTTGCTTTTTGTTGTTTGAGAGTTGTTTTTCATGAGTCTTAGTTTTCATCTATTCATGTTTTCCATCTCATGTTTC